CAATGTTTCCAATCTTCCTTTAGGCAATGATTTTGTGAAAATATTAGCATATTGATCATCAGAACTGCAATGCAACAGTTCCGCTTCCTTCTTGTCTTGAGCTTCTCTTATAGAATGATATTTGATCTTTATATGCTTTGTCCTTCCATGAAAAACTGGATTCCTCACCATTGCCACAGTTGACTGATTATCACAGAAAATGGTTGTGGCATCTTCTTGTTTGTGCTTCAAATCCTCCAACATTTTCCTTAGCCAAATAGCTTGATTGGTGGCATCTAAAGCTGCTATGTATTCTGCTTCTGCCGTGGATTGAGCTACGGTTTTTTGCTTCATGGAATTCCAGCACACAATGTTTGAACCAACATAAAACACATAGACTGATGTACTCTTCATATCATCAGCTGAACCAGCCCAGTCACTGTCTGTAAAGCCATTGAGCAGCAGCCTCTCTGTTTTTCTGAACCAAAGTCCCAGCTCTTCTGTGCCTTTTACATATCTCAACACCTTTTTTGTCCCCTGGAAATGAAGTTCATTTGGCTCCTGTTTGAATCTAGATAGGATATTAGCTGCAAAAGTGATATTTGATCTGGTAGAAGTCAAGTACAACAGACATCCAACAATGCTTCTATACACTTTCTCATCTACCTTCTTGGCTCCATCATCCTTCATTAGTTTCAGATTTAAAACTAATAGAGTATTCACTGGTTTGCAACTTTCCATATTGAATTTCTTCAGCATCTCTCTGATGTATTTCTTTTGTCACTCATGTAAGTTAGCTTATTACCATATCTTCTTGATCCATTCTATCTCTAATTTCTTCAAATACCACATTCATCTGCTCAATTATTGTTGCATGGCTCTCATCATGAAGGATTGAATGTCGCCCTCTCTAAAGGTTGATTCTTCTTTATCATGCATCCTAATAACTAGAATTTGTATGTCTCGCATGTTTTCACTCAAATTTGGTTTTTTCCCTCTAATAATCTCACCACTCTTGCACTGTTCCTCTCAATGTTTTCTTTCAAGTTCTCTAAGGAACTAATTGATCTCAATAAAAAAAAAAAAAATCCCTTGTGAGATTCAAACACGCAAGAACGAAGAATTAAAGAACGATAATAACTCGAGAAAATAACCTAAGAAATGAAAGAACGAAAGAATTTAATGTAAAAAAAACAAAGAATTTCAAGAATTTATGCCTTTTCCACATCAATATTGATATCAATGAATGATTTAGATATTGAATCGATTTCTTGAAGGAAATTGCACTTCAAGAAAGTGTTTATTGAAATCAAATAAGCCTCGTTTTGGCTTGAATTTTTTTCTTTTTGCTGAAATTGTTTTCTAGAATTTCGTTTTTTACACTAAATATGCGAAAAATCAACAAATGGAAGAAAAAAAAATTTATTGGTGCACTAAAGTTAATGCACAAAATAATTCTTGAATGTTCTTCATATTTGTGTTGATGTAAAAGACTCGAGAAGATGATTAAGACTCAAGAACACGACGAAGACGCTGTAAAGAAGATGAAGACGCAACGAAGAAGATGTGAATTAGGGTAAAAAATGCGGAAAGATTAAGATTTAACCTTAATTTTAGACCCAAAACTCTAATACCAACTGATATGAACCCATGTGGCAATGGTAGCTTCGAAATCTACATAAGATTAAATCACAACCCCAAGAAAACTAAAATCCCGGTTTGAAACTTGACCCAATAATTTATTGAATCAAGAAATCAAAGTTATAAATGAACTTGACCCCTTAATCACAAAAATTATAAACCTTGCTATGAAGTTATTGAACGCCACAATGATGAAATCCTCGATAAGTTCGAAATTGAGTTCAATAAAAAACAAGAATAAAACAACCTTGATTTCATTTAATCTCTCAAATAATGATTAATGTTCAATCAAAATAATGAGACCTATATGTAGGGGAACTCATAAAAACTCTAAACACTGAAAATAATATAAAAACTAAAACAAAAGGATTCTAATGAAATTAAAATAACTGAAAAACATGACACAGAAATAGCCTATATAGCCGCGTAGGGTACTGCAACCGTAAGGAAGACTTGGTTTTCTTCTCGAGTTGATTTTAGGTTTGGAGTGCGGCCGCAAGCTCAATTGCTCTATGTGGCCGCATGGTTCAACATCAGCTCCTCCTTTTCCTTTGCTTGAATCAATTACACCCATCTTGATTCTTCCTTCATGCTCAACATAAAATTTGATATTTTGCTCCTTGCAATCGAAGTCTCGGACCATATAACTTGAACAAGTACTCTCATTGCTTCCTTGATCTTCTTTGCTCGCGATATAATCATTGGTCCTTGTCCCACAATCAATGGTTCTTGTTAGCTTTCGTCCTATGGTTCTCATCGAGTTGTGATAAAAAAAAATAACTTGTGATTAATTAATTTAATAATATGTGATCAAGAAATAAGTTGTGACCTATATAATTTGTGATCGAGAAATAAGTTGTAACATATAAAATTTGTATTTTTGATTGTAAAGTTCTATGATTGTGACTACCATCGAATGTTTGTATAATAGTATCCACAGCTCTTTTACGGGCTCCATAGCAAGAAATAATCTATTATATTAAAGAGAGTCCGCGTGAATTGCTTTGAATGGATAAATCAATCATTTGTTTTTGAGGGTCCGGCATTAATCCCTTCATGCCTACTAATTGATGTATCTGAGATGCATTTTCTCTAGCTCCAAAAAAAACATTATATGAATTGGATTAAATGGGTCAATCATCCTAAAATTAGGATTCACTTAAAAGAAAATCTCAAGTTTGTCAAAGTTGAAATTGTATCTTTAAATATAGGTATTTGTTTATTTTTCATTTAAATTAATTAACGTATGGACAAATTTTAATTCATTTAATTAATTAACTAATAAACCGGCTTATTTTTAATGGGTGGGTCGAGCCCACTTAAATTATCTGTAAATAAATAATTAGGTTTTGAGTTTTTTAATTGCAATTGATTACAACAAAAACTCACACTACAATATCATAATCTTGCTAACACAAGAAAGAGAAACACTATTATCTCATTATTGTTCTCCCGTGTGGATTACCATTGGAGGTTGGGCGATTGAACAACTGTGGTTGGAAAGATGGTGGAGATTCATGCAGAACAAATATCGTGATTTTTTGTGATCAAAATTCATGAAGGAGTTTGAAGAATTTGATAGGCATATAATTCTACTCATGATTTCTATCTAGATAATAAGATTTTTTTTAAGGGAATTAAAAAATATCTTAATTTTACGTTCTTTTTTTTTTTTCTTTCAGAATTATACACTATTAATATTGCTGCACATTTATGGAGTTCTCCGTCTCTAGAATGCAATAGTGAAATTTGGAGAGCAATAAAAATTAGAATTTTGCAAGGCGTAAAGTTGGATTATAAATTTGAATGTTGGTGGAGATGTGTCGCGGAAAGTCTATAAATAGGCTGAAAATAATTCAAGATTTGATTCCCATTTTTCTCAAAATACATTTTTTTTTCTCTCTTCTTTTGTACCACACATTCTTTATTAAAATAATATTACATATGAATCAAAAAAAATTCATTCTTTTTTAATCACATGTTCTCTGTCAATCTACTATTACAAAATACATTCTTAAAAAATAATGTGACTGAAACACCCCTCACTGATCGTACAAACTAAAGCCTACATTGTCAACTATTCATTTTTAGCCCCTATTTGGTGGCCATTTTTTTGGGAAAAAAACATTATTTTAAATAGTGATTTTTTGGAGAGTGATTAAAAATAGGAAAAAAATTTGAGTCTACGTGTAGAATATTTTACTGTGTAATTGTGCGGCTAAAAATGAATGTAAAAAAAAAGTTTTGAAAGAATGAGAGACTAATAAATTATGGATTCATCTTTCAAATCATTGAAATTGCTAGCCACTATTCCTATTTCTACAAATTTTACCTCCCCAACTAAACCAATCAATCTAAACGACTAACATATTCTACATTACCATGTCAAAACCTTCATATTATATACATACTAATTTTCTTAGCGTACGATCGTAAGTATCCTGAAAACTGAAACTGAAAATGTGAAAATAATTGGACATGAAATAATTTTTTTTCCTAGAAGTTCGATGTTGATTTTGAAAAAGTAATTTAACGTCCGTTCAAAACTCTTAACAACTAGTTAATTTTTACAGGATAATGATTAAAGTCTATGTTTTTGTTAAATTTTAATTGAAAGTGGCAATGAAGGTAATTAATTTGTAGTTGAATTCCGCCACAATCTCACAACAAAGCATAATTCTTAATTAAAGAACAAATATTAAAAGGAAAGTTCTTCCATAAAGCTGCAAAGTTTCCACTTTTTATTAAAAAAATTAGAAAATGGGACCTTTTTTATTTTCCAAAATATTTTCAAGAGTTCCTATTTTCAAAACTTGTTTAAATAACTCGAATAAGTTGATTTCCCATATGATATGGGAAATACTGTTTTTTTGTCACGACTATGGTGCAATCCCCATAGGGATAATTGCAGCTGCGGTCCCAAACCTTTCAATTTTTTGCGCATTTTACCCTAACCTTTGATTTGTGCCAGCGGTAGTCCCAAACCTTTAATAAATATGCGTTGCAGGTCCATTTGGACGGTTTTCATCCAATTGACCGTTAGTCAGCCGAAAATAGTAATTTTGACCAGAATTAGTAAGGGCAAAATGGTAACTTTACATATTTTAACCTAAAATAATTAAAAACAAAAAGAAAAGAAAAAATGGAACTATTCATCTCCTTCTTCACCCCACCCCATCTCACCTCACCTTACCTCACCTCACCCCTACACCTCACCTCACCCCATTGAAAATCTTCCACCACCGCCGCCACATCTCCCACCACCACCGCCCCCTTCTAATCCCATTTACCCTAAAAATGTCCGGCAAAATGAAGCCCAGCAAGATCCAGAACAAATTACAGACGAGAATATCCCACAACCAGTCACTTCGATCCCACCAATGGCGGAAGCTGAACAAGCCCAACAACAACCTGGATTCACCTCCACGACGCAAAAATTCTCCAATGTTTCCTTCAACATATGGCCACCGACTGACCGCACTCGGGACACCGTCAGAAATCGCCTGATCGAGACCCTTTCTTTTCCTTCAATTTTATCCAAGTGTTACGGCATTGTTCCAAGCGAAGAGGCGACGGATGTAGCGACCAGGATCGAGAAGGAAGCGTTTTTGTCCGCTGTGGGTGTTGCGACCACTGACAATGATGGGTTCAAAATTCTTCAAGTTTATTCCAAAGAAATCAGTAAGAGGATGCTTCTTCAAGTTTATTCCAAAGAAATCAGTAAGAGGATGCTGGATACCGTGAAATCCAGATCTGATGAAGCGGAGCCCGAGAGCAAGCCTGTTGAGGAGCCGGAGGTGGAGAGCAAGACGGAGGAGCAGAATGAGGAGGAGGATATGGGATCCACTGCTCCGCCTCAAAGTGAGAAAATAGAGTCTGTTGTTGATGATGAGTGACCGACTTTTGTTAAGGTTCTTTTGCGATTTGTTCTGGATCTTGCTGGGCTTCATTTTGCCGGACATTTTTAGGGTAAATGGGATTAGAAGGGGGCGGTGGTGGTGGGAGATGTGGCGGCGGTGGTGGAAGATTTTCAATGGGGTGAGGTGAGGTGTAGGGGTGAGGTGAGGTAAGGTGAGGTGAGATGGGGTGGGGTGAAGAAGGAGATGAATAGTTCCATTTTTTCTTTTCTTTTTGTTTTTAATTATTTTAGGTTAAAATATGTAAAGTTACCATTTTGCCCTTACTAATTCTGGTCAAAATTACTATTTTCGGCTGACTAACGGTCAATTGGATGAAAACCGTCCAAATGGACCTGCAACGCATATTTATTAAAGGTTTGGGACTACCGCTGGCACAAATCAAAGGTTAGGGTAAAATGCGCAAAAAATTGAAAGGTTTGGGACCGCAGCTGCAATTATCCCTTCAACATATGGACAAGTTAGTGATCCATTTTATTTAAGTTAATTTTCATTTTTCATCCTCTTGGATATTTTGACCATATTAGTTCATTGAAATATTTTTCAATAGCTGACCGTAATTTGGCCGATTAGACATAAAATTATTGATTTTTTTTTTTTAATTGCTAGAGCTAGACCAAAAACCAATCTGTATTCCGACTGGTAGGCTTGTTTCGATTCTTGATTATGTTATTGTTTTTGGACAATTTTGTTAGAAACCCCTTGGTCTAATCTTGAAAACGATATTAATGTTTATTATTGAACAACAACATTGTACAATTCTATTTATCAAACAATCCACATGTGGTTATTGATAACAAATACAAAATTATTGAATGTCGAAAATAAATATGATTATAATCTTATTCTCAACTCAAGGAAAACAAGACAATAAACATCATCCTAACTACCAGTGGCGGATCCAACACAAAAGTTCAGCACGGACGGACCGAATGTTGATCATTAACCATTGATCGTCGACAATCAATGATCGTAAGAGCGATGTCGTTTATTAATATTTAATTTAAAAATTATTCAAATCAAAAGGCCCAAAAAAAAAACCCAAAAAAAAAAAAAAAAAGCTCAAACTGGTCTTCTTCTTCCCTTCTTCTATCAATATCGACTACTCGGCTCTCCAATGAATTTGAAATTATTTCTCCAAGCAAGCCACCAAGAGGAGCCAATAGGTGCCAACCTACTTTTCCCCAACAGAAAGAGGCCATAGGGTAACAGCACCAACTTAAAGTTGGCTTACAAAGTGCATTTGAGAGCTCTACTTTAGAAGCGGCAGTTCAGAAAAATCTCGACAATGAAGAAGTCGTGTAACCCAATACTCGACAGTATTGAAGACTCCGGCGAATCCAAAGAGGCGGCCGCGCCCTCTCGCCGGGTGCTGAGTTCGCCCCTGCTAGCTACCAAGACTTTAGCCTCTAATCGAAATTTTTAAGCCATGTGCAATGTGTTGTTTGAGGTTTATAAACAAAAAATAAAATAAAATCACATTCCACTCCTCTCTAGGCCATCTTATTTGGTGCTACAACCAGAAAATCTCCACTACACAAGATAAAAGGCATAAATCTTCTATCTTCATCCGTCAAAGGATGCAGGGTTGAATATCACCTCTAAACCCCATTGTACAAGTATAAATTCAACCACTCCAACCCAATGCATCGTAATTCTTTATCCAAAAAGTGAACAATGTTATTATTACCTCCACCTTCAAATTTCATAGTATCATGGAATTATTCACGAAGTACAATTTAACAACTATTATTTCAAAACTCTTTTTTCTACGTACTCATTTTCAATCACATACACACAATAAAATATTCTACAAGTAAATTCAAAATTTTCCCCCAACTTTTAACCACACATTCTCCAAAAAAAATCACAGTTCAAAAATCCATTTTACACAAATAAATGATTGTCAAACAAGGGCCAAGTACTACTTACCATACACCCAGATCAAAACCCAAGGCATTAAATGTTCAAAAAACAAATTTAGGGGATTTTGCATTAATACTTCATCACCAATGTGCAAATGTAAAAATAATGAAATGGCCAACAAGTCTTCAATGTTTGTTTTACCTGGGGAGGGGGTGCGTGTAAGGGAGTAGAGAAATACCATCAGCAGTTAATTTCTCTTAATCCCACACGATAAATAAAAAGAAAATAGGAACTTGACTTCATTATTCCTTGATTTTTTTCCCTTTTGTCTCTTTGACGATGAAAGGAAGGAAACTCTTCCCACCCATGAACTCTCTCAGAACTTCAGGTACTTCAACACCATCCTCCTTTTGGTAATTCTCAAGGATGCAGCACATTGTCCTCTCTGTTGCCGTCAGGGTAGAGTTCAACATATGTACGTATTGCTTAGTCTGATCATTGCTCTGCAACCATAGTTCAGTTGTAAAAGGAGAGCTATTGGTCAGTTTTGTTGGAAAGAGAAACTGTGGTGCGACAAATCATCCATCTCGGTTTAGCAATTGCATTTAGGGGTGGTACAGAACAAGAATATGAATGAAACATGGCATAATTAATTTGAACAAGTTACCTTTTTCTGTCCATAGCGGATTTCTAGGCTTCTCGACTGATAATCAGTGCAATTTGAGCAGGACACAAGCTCTCTATAGGTATTGGATGCAGGAAACCATCCTTCCAAATCATACTTCTTAGCAGCTGCATCATTTAATGCACCAGAAACAATGGCTACAATTTGATATGGAATCTTCAGCTGAAAATACATGAAAAAGAGTCATATTCGGGGGAAAAAAAGGAATGTTAATAAAAAGTTTACGTCAAGGAAAACAAATCGAAGACCTTGTGACAACAAATGTGGTTAACATCAACAAACAGTTTGTTGTAAGTAATTCATCAGATGAACAAAATCTCTTCTATAAAAGTAATTCAACCCATTAAAGTGAATAAACTCAATGCAGTACATTTATTTTAAAAAGAGAGAAGTAGATAAGACCATCTTGTAGAATTCCTCAGAATTTTTTATCATCTCCTCATGCATGTCCCAGGAATCATTGCCGTTTGGGCTGGTTATACAAAACTGTTCCACCTTTTCAAACTGATGAACTCGGAAAATTCCAAGAGTGTCACGACCATGTGAACCAGCTTCTTTACGGAAGCACGACGAATATCCAGCATATCTGGAATATGCGTAATGTCAATCTAATTAAAGATCAAAAATATTCTTTATTGACTAAATAGGAGCAATTCAAAACCAGAAATACAATTCTACTAAACTGAGTTGTTACAATTGATGCTAGGCTTATGGATTACCATACCTCAATGGCAATTGAGAAGGATGAATCCAATCATCTATATGATATGCACAAAGTGGCTGTTCAGCTGTGGCAATCAGATATTTGTCATCTCCCTCACCGGTTACCTGTAAAACAACACAAATCACACCTATTTCTTGACAATATCAACACATTAGAAAGTTCACATTACATGAAAAATTCCATTGGGCTTTATAAACTAAATACAAAAGGGAGCTCTAAAGGCAACGCAGGAGAATGCTTATGCGGTCATATCCTAAAAGCTCAAAAAAAAAACCTGATTGTGTTATTCCAGATATTGAACACGTTTATCAGCTGAAGGGATTTTACTTTCTCCATCAAAAAGTTTAAAAGCTTATGCGGTCATAACCTAAAAGCTCAAAAAAGCACCTGATTGTGTTATTTCAGATATTGAACATGTTTATCAGCTGAAGGGATTTTACTTTCTCCATCAAAAAGTTTAAAAGTTACACTCAAGGTGGAAACCGGCTTCTTATTCAATTTTTTACTGAGCAGTTGCTATTCTCAATTTACCATCAATATATCATCAGAAGATCATATTTGTTCCATGAAGAATGTTCGTGTCTTCATCGTTGTCCATGGAAGATAATTGCCCTCAAGGAATTCAATATTGGTGATTAAACAAAAAGGGATAAGATAATTAATGACCTCATCGATTTGGTGCAGGTGGCCACACAACAATGAAATTATTTTTAAAGATTAAGTTACTTCTAATATATATGGTTCCTCCTCCCCTGAACTTTGTTTATTAATTTCCCCTCGTGTATTTATTAAAAATATATGACCCCCGTCTCTCTCTCCCCAATCCTTTACTTTCCTAGATGTTTATAACTGGTTAAAATTCATGACAAATCACATAACTACTGGTCCTCCTTAAAGTGGCCTCTAGGAAAGAAATGCATGCAGCAATTCTCAAGTTGGGTTCCATGTGCCACAATGCTATTGCAACAATCCAATGCAGCCAAAAAACCAAATTATAATAGCACAAGACACCATTTCTGATTTCATTCAGCAGGCTTCAGGGATTGATTGTGACACTTAGGCCTTAGCAGTATCTGTGGTTAGAAGGCTAAAGCTGCATGCCACCAAGTAGTGAGGATGAGAGGATGGAGATCATTTTCTTTGAAATGACAGATGGAACTTTTCTGAGTTTTATTTTATATCCTGGCAGTTTAACACTTAAGCTCAGGTGTGTGTTGGGCAAATACAATGGCTTTCTAATGATGGTTAAAACAACACGATGAAGCACTATGGATCCCCAGTTATCAAAGGTGATAAAAGTTACCTTGTAGAGTTCTTCATCAAATTGCGCCAACTGAGCACACTTTGCCATTATATCTTTTCTCATGAAGAATGGAGTCTGTAATGGAGTATACCCCCTCTTCTCCAAAAAGTCCAAACCAAAGTTAATTAGAGCTTGATTAAGTCGTACTCCATCTCCTTTGAGATAGAAACCTCTCCCTCCAGCTACATTCGTACCTATTATGTACCAAAGAAATTTGCATTAGCAAATAGCTACGGAAAATACTTAACCACTATACAATGGATTTAGAGAATACCACCTGTAGTAGCTTAGATTTTCTAAGAAAAGTGTGAGCCAGAATCAGAATTTAAGGTATTTGGCATATTGTGCCCCAAATACTACTCGGCCATGCAAACAGTAAAAAATATGCATCTAAATAACAAGTTTATCTATATAAAGTTTCTGAGGGAGATCCTAATAGATATATCATATGGAATACTTTCCAATTTAGATACTTATTTTAGGAAAGGTAATTAAGGTTTTATTTTATAGGTTTCTAGTATTTTATATTATTTCTTAATTGTTATCCTACTTAAATTAGGTTACTTGAAACCCTATATAAAGAGAGCATATGAATTGTATTAGTTATACTTGATTATTGAATAAATCTTATTTTCTTCCTCTAATTTCTCTTGATATTATCCCCTCTTTCTTCTCTCTTTCTCTCCCTTTCTTCTCAAGTTTCATTGCATCCTATGTCAGTTTCCTTACAATGTTAGTTTTCCGCTGGCTTCTACGCAAAGCATCACAAACAGCTGTGGAACTTGGTCTAAAAATTTACCTTTTCTTTTCACAACATGATTTATACACAAATAACAAGCAGAACCAGCAAACAAGTTGAATAAAAAATGTCTCTTCATGTTCATGGATCTCAAAGTCAGAAAGCATCATGGTTTTTTATATATTATAAATTTATAGTTTTATCATTTTAATCACTTATACAGGACCTAATACTGAAGTAGAGAAAATCTAACCAAAGACGTAAAATACCTTTCTTTGTGTCTGCAATTCCAAGAAGCTCGACAAGCTCCACATGATTTTTTAGCTTTGATCCAGTCCTCTTCTCCCCCCACGAGTGAACAATGGCATTGTTCTCCTATAAAAATATCTTGTTAATTAAAGTGGCAAACGAACAATCCAACGTTCATATAAACTCATGAAATATAGAAAAATTAAGCCCTGTTTTGATGGTCATTATAAAGAGAACTTGGGGGAAATCATATTTTGAATAGTGATTTTTTGGGGAAAATTTTTGGATTTATGTGCAAAATATTTTATTGCGTAAATGTGTGGTTAAAAATGATTATGAAAAATAGAGTCAAACTGGGGGTAAGATTCACCTCATCATTGCTAACTGGAACAGAATCATGTACAAGGTTTCCAACATTTCCCCATCTTGCATCTACTGCTATTTTAGCCTCCTGCACTTCTACCTCTTTCTGTGCAATCAATCTTCTGTTATCCTCGGTAGCTGAAATCATTCCGCTTGCATCTTCCCCAGACTTTTCAAAGAGAGAGAGAGAGAGAGACTGACACGTGTGAGTCCAAAGCCAACAAAATAAGCTCAAGAGAGTGCTATTACTCAGACGCAAAATACCTAAACAGGTTAGGGTGCTATGCTGCAATTCATCAACAGGCATTTTTAAGCTTTAAATACGATGGACCTAATTAACTTTCAAATTTGAAATGATAATCTAGATTCAGAATCAGACAAATCTCTTGTTTTCCAGTCTCCCTTTCTGATTCCATTTTCAATATCTTTGTACAGTGGTAATTACTACTCCTTGGCATTCCCTGAAGTGCCACGACTCAAAGTACAGGCTTCACTTTCTTTCAGAGTCTTCTTGAAAGTTTTAGTTGCCTTTAAAGTAAGAGCGCAAGTTGACATCCAAGAGAGACGTAGAGTTGGGGCTTCACATTTATTGTTATCCACTAACTAAACAAAAATCCCAAATCTGCATTCTACTTAAATCTCGAATATAGTAAAAACAATTGACAACCTAGAAAATAAAAAACGGAACATTGTGTAACTGAAAACCCCTCCTTTGTTTTAGCAACATTATTATTTTTTTCTTGCTAACTAAACAGTAATGGTCGAAATTTATTTTGTATATTCTTCATCATACTTTCAGTATTTTGAGGAGACCCATCGATTCAGTGAAGCACAAAACAAAAAGTGTCCCAAATTAGACAGAAATATAATTATAGAATTAACAGACAGAAACGAGAACAAAGCACTCACAATTCGGAGTCGGGCAACCTCTTTATTAATCTTATTAAAATCCTTCCTCAATCCTTCCAGCTCAAATTGACCTACAATATTTATCTCATGAAAACAGATAAATTCACAAAATCGTGGAAAATCAGCAAAAGAAATGATAGAAATAATTACGCTGTCGCCATTCTTTGTCGAGCTTAATGACCTCATCGATCAGACCAGGGTCAGCAAAACGACGTCGCTGAGACTCCCTAACCTTCTCCGGGTTGCCACCCTTTTCTTCTCTGATCAGATTTATGTCCAACATCCTTCTCTTTATCTGTAATTACACAATCATTAGCAAATATCACACACAACTATAAATATAGAGACTCAAATTATACATACGTGAATAGATATAGAGAGAAACAATAGGGAGAAAGGGAGAGACGTTATAGATTAGACTAGACTAGAGTACTGACGGCGAAATCTTGAGAGGTTGAAGATTCCAGCAAGGGTTTTGAAACGTTCCATTAAGGAATATCTTCTTTTTATTTTCAATCCGGCCCTTATTGTTTGAATAATTGTAATTTAGTCACCATATTTTAAACAAATATATTACAATAAATTATAATTGAATTAGCAATGGCATTAATATTTTAGTGCATATGTATTATTTCTGTAATATATTTCAACACATCAACATATGGCAGTCATTTCATAAATAAAATGATAATTAAAAGTAAAAATTTAATATAAAAAAACATGTTGTAGACATTTCAAAAGGAAAGTTTAAATTATACAAATTACTGTAATCTTTCATCAATTTAATGATGTGTAGGATAAATTTGAATCTATTACATATTTTAGCAAATTAATAAAGATAATTTTTTTAATTGAAAAGTTTCATTAAATATATATTTCAATTTTTCATATAATTTGAATGTAGAGCTTTCTCAAGCAGTTCAAAATTCAAGTTTTTGTCTAGATCACTTAAGTTATTCTGTTACAATGATTGTCTTGTATTTTAACGAGATCTCGATGATGTAAACATTTATAGACATTAAGTTTCTAGTTGTTAAGGAACGAATTAAGTGTGATCAGGTTTCTATAGAGCATATTAGGACAAATTTCATGATTGAGGATCCACTAACTAAAGAACTACCACCCAAGGTCTTTCGTGAGCGCACTGTCCATATGAGTGTTGCATCTTTTGATGATATGATAGTTTTGTGGGAGATTGTATTTGGTTGTTGTCTAATTCAAGCACGTCTTATGCTTATAGATATTTAGGTAATTTTGTATAAATAAAGTATTCAATTCAATTCCACTCTGATTAAAATTTTGATTTGATCTCATTAAAAAAAAAGTAGGACCAGTTGGAAATATACATGTTTGGATGACATTACATGTAATTTTAATGCAGTCATGCTTCACATACACAAGCATGACTCACAGAAGAAAACCAAATACTCACAACAAGGGGGGGTGGAATTTTTTTTTCAATATTTTACTCACATAGGGCAAACTCCCGAGTGTTCTGGCAATTGCAAAATTACAATTTTAGTGCTACACATCCACACTTGATCTATGTCACTTGATTGTGTGGATATAAGTGAATTAATGAGTTTAGTTATGATACTTACCACTTTGATCCTATATTGACATAATTAATGGATGACATTGTTCGAAGATACTTTGGTTATGCACATTTGTAACGCGACAAATGTGGCACAAGTGGGATATTGTTGGAATTCAATTTGTCATGTAGGCCTACATATGCAATTAATTTTGTATAAATACTATCTTAAAGTTAGTCCCAATTAAAGTGATCTAATAAATAATTAAAGTTATGGACTTTCAGTATCTAAACAAAGTGTGGGCCTAAATATTTGTAGAGATCGAATCCATTAGGGTTGTATTGACGATGTGCTGAATACGTATGAAAATACAAATAGGGTTATAGTCCCTAATTCATATGTGATTTTCATTCTTTGTGCCATCTCATCAATAGAAAACATATTGAAAAGGAATATCTAAAATCCACTATCAAGAACATGAAATCCACAATCAAGAGGAATGAATTGAGACAATCAAGATTATAAAGTAAGAAATCAAAATCAAGAACAAAAAGTCAAAAATTAAAAGAGTCAATAATCAGGATTCAAAATCCGGAATCAAAATCCAATAATAAAGTATTATTCCCAATAAATTAAGGTATATTCCACATTAATTAATTTTTGGGATAATTGCAGCTGCGGTACCAAACCTAACAATTTTTTGCGCTTTTTACCCTAACCTTAGATTAGTGACAGCGGAAGTCCCAAACCTTTAATAAATATGCGTTGCAGGTCCATTTGGACGGTTTTCATCCAATTGACCGTTAGTCAGCCGAAAATAGTAATTTTGACCAGAATTAGTAAGGGCAAAATGGTAACTTTACATATTTTAACCTAAAATAATTAAAAACAAAAAGAAAAGAAAAAATGGAACTATTCATCTCCTTCTTCACCCCACCCCATCTCACCTCACCTTACCTCACCTCACCCCTACACCTCACCTCACCCCATTGAAAATCTTCCACCACCGCCGCCACATCTCCCACCACCACCGCCCCTTTCTAATCCCATTTACCCTAAAAATGTCCGGCAAAATGAAGCCCAGCAAGATCCAGAACAAATTACAGACGAGAATATCCCACAATCAGTCACTTCGATCCCACCAATGGCGGAAGCTGAACAAGCCCAACAACAACCTGGATTCACCTCCACGACGCAAAAATTCTCCAATGTTTCCTTCAACATATGGCCACCGACT